CTTGCTTTCCAATTCGATTGGCCATATATAGCTACAGACTTTACTGAAATAAACAGGCTCTTTCTCCACTAATAACGGGAAAAAATGAGTAGAAAGAAAACAGATTTGAAGAGATAATATCAGACAAACTCGAGAACTACACTATTGAGAATTGAGATCTCATCTGAGTTGGGGCTTTATATATAGAACTACAGTCCTAAATAAAGAAAGTGAGTAGGAAGTGGATGCGAGAAAGAGAGACACGTTTTAACAATCAATGTTGTTGCTATCATACACCTGAATCTCATTACTCTACCTACATAGATTTGTCCTTCCAAGTATATAGCCTAAAAACCTGGCCTAGTGCCTGTTTTATATAAAGTTTTGCTGGAACACAACCATACCTACTAAATTACATATTGTCTATAGCTATTTTTACGCAATCATGGGGAGTGGGTTGTTGCAACTTTATGACACACAAAACCAAAGGATTTACTCTCTGGTCCTTTACAAAAAGTTTGTCAATCCTAAGCCAAAAATGAGGTCGTCAGTAATCACCCAAAACCAAACCCATTGCCAAGTACAGTCTGACTCATATCGGTCCTATAGAGTGTTTTGGAAGCTTTGTACATCATTATGGAAGCTGACGGCGTCATCTTTCTCCCAAGGAGTGGACTAGTGGGTTCGAACCACTTACCTTGTGGCTAGCAGTTCAATGCTTACCCAACAGAGCCACAACAGCTCAGAGGTTCAATATAAAAGATATGATCAACATTACTACAATTTTGGGTAGGAATACTATCAAATATGTTTTCAGGTATGGATTTCAAACCTCTTTAAACAAAAAATACTTATAGTAGATATTTTGCAATGTATTATAGCTAACAGCTCTTGAAAGCTATAGAAAGCAGCTATATAAAGGCATAAAAGCTCTACTATGGAAAAAGCAAAATGAATGGCGTTTATCTCCTGCCAGCACCAGGAAGTCCCATAGAACACAGGCATCCTGTGACCTTCATGTGCTGACTTTTATTTGCGTCCCCAATTCTCTGCCTTAACATATGAGACAGACTATGGATCCAACCCTCCACATTGGAACAACAGCGAGTGCCATTTGGGGTGATCAGACTGCAATTCCTAGCTTTTTTTTTTTAATCATTTCATTGGGGGCTCATACTACTCTTATCACAATCCATCCATCCATCCATTGTATAAGGCACATTTGCATATTCGTTACCGTCGTCGTCATCATTCTCAAAACATTTGCTCTCCATGTAAGCCCCTGCCATCAGCTCCTCACTTTAACCCCTCCGTTCCTGCTCCCCCCTCCCCCCTCCCCTCATGAACCCTTGATAATTTATAAATTATTATTTGCCATGTCTTACTTTGTCTGATGTCTCCCTTCACCCACTTTTCTGTTGTCCGTCCCCCAGGGAGGAGGTTATATGTAGATCCTTATAATCGGTTCTCCCTCTCTACCCACCCTCCCCCCATCCTCCCAGGATCGCCACTCTCACCACTGGTCCTGAAGGGATCATCTGCCCTGGTCCCCTGTGTTTCCAGTTCCTATCTGTACCATTGTACATCCTCTGGTCTAGCCGGATTTGTAAGGTAGAATTGAATCCCTAGCTTTTTACCATCCTCCATATCTTTCTTTTCACAACTGGTTGGAGCCATGAAGTCCAGCAAACAAATGGGTGGGAAGTATTTTTGCTGGGCTAGGCAGGGCCCGTCATAAAATGTAGGGAAGGGCAGAGGTCTGAAGGGCAAGTGCCGCAGTCACAGACGGGGATGAAAGCGGCTCACAGCGGTGCAACCAAAGGGACATGGGTTTTTTGTACGGTTTTCTTTTTGTTTTATAAATTCAGAATGCAGAGCAGTGGGCGGTGGAGATAGGAAAGGATCTGACTTGGGGACAACAGAGCTAAATGCAAATCTGCTCAACGCGCAAAAGCAAGATCAGAAACAACTGACATCAAGTTGGCTCCCGCTCATGGTGACACCAGGAAATCAGAGTGAGGCTGTGCTGCCCAGGGTGTTCAGGGTCTGAACGTCCACCTGTGAGTGGCCTCCAGCCTCCAACCTTTTGGAGAATGATGGAGAACATCCACAAGGCACACCCCTCTAGCATCACTTGGGCTGGGAGTCAGCACATTTCCTAAAACCTGGTGACTGATCCAATAAGGAGAATTAGCCAAGGGTAAGCCACTTACCCTGGCAATTTTCAAGTATTAGGTATGGGTCGCTCTTGATCAAGTGTGAATAAATAGAAAGAAGCAACTGGGGAACTTTTTTTTGTTAAAGAATAACATTATGAACATTCAAAGAAAGAGCAAGCTTCTAAACACTATTACAGAATCAGAAAGAAAATGTTGGGAAAGTAACAATAGCTCTTATTTCACAGGATTGTTAGGGTAATTATAAACATGAAAATTTTAAATAATTTTTATGGACATTCTAATTATAATATTTATAATTTATAATGTTAAAAATTATGAAGATGAAAACAAAGAATGAAACAATAACTGGTCCACAGTAAAAACTCAAAATGTAGAGCAGATAATTGTAATGATGGCGATGGTAGTGGGGACCGTGGTGGAAGTGACATTCCATCAATATCAGACATTTACTCAACATTTCCTGGCGATATTAGACAAAGAAAAGTGGTTTTTCATTATTGCTACACTGAACCCTGAGTGACTCATCTCTTCCCCACTACCCCTCTGCAAGGGATGTCCAGTTGTCTACAGATGGGCATTGGGTCCCCATCACACGCTACCCTCATTCACGATGATATGATTCCCCACCCCCACGCCCCTGCCTTTGGTGCTTGAAACCTGGTCCCCTTGGCCCTTAATGATCACACATGTTGGTGTGCTGCTTCCATGTGGGCTTTGTTTCTTCTGGGCTAGATGGTCGCTTGTTTACTTTCAAGCCCTTTAAGACCCCAGACGCTCTAGCTCTTGATAGCCGGGCACCATCAGCCTTCTTCACCACACTTACTTATGCACACATTCGTCTTCAGCGTTTATGTGGGGAACGTGATCATACAATGATGGTTTTTGTTCTTTGGTGTCTGCTACCTGATCCCTTCAGCACCCTGTGTTCCCACAGGCTTGTGTGCTTCTTCTCTGTGGGCTTTGTTGCTTCCAAGCTAGATGGCCACTTGTCTGCCTTCAAGCATTTAAGACCCCAGATGCTATAGCTTTCAATTGCCAGGTACCATCAGCCTTCTTCACCACATTTACTTATGCACACATTCGTCTTCAGCGTTTATGTGGGGAAGGTGATCACACAATGATGGTTCTTAAACGCTTCCTCCCCACAACTATCATGATCCCAATTCTACCTTGCAAACCTAGTTTAGGACCAGAGGATGCACAACGGTACAGATGGGAACTGGAAACACAGGGAATCTAGGACAGATGAACCCCTCAGGACCAGCAGTGAGAGTGGCGATACCGGGAGGGAAGAGGGGGTAGAAAGGGGGACTCGATCACAAGGATCTACATATAACTCCCTCTCTGGGAGATGGGCAACTGAAAGGTGGGTGAAGGGACAGTGTAAGATAAGATGTAATAATAATTTATAAATTATTAAGGGTTCATGAGGGAGGGGGGGAGCGGGGAAGATGGGGGAAGGGAAAAAGGAAAAGGAGGAGCTGATTCTAGGAATCCAAGCGGAAAGCGAATTTTGAGAACAATGAGGGCAACAGATGTATAAGTGTGCTTTACACAATTGATGTATGTATGGATTGTGATAAAGAGTTGTATGAACCCCAATAAAATGATTTAAAAAAAAGAAAAGTGGTTTTAATGATCTGACTTTTTAAAAACTGTATGTAAAAACTAAAGACTTAATGTGCATGGCTGATATAAATCAATTTGAGGAAAAAATACACATACCTATTTTAAAATTTCAGACTGCATGCATATAAATTTAGATCTAAAGTATGGAGCCAAGTTTCATCATTTTATATTAATTATGTATACGTATCAATGCACACTATTAGTGAGTCCTACGTGGGAAGCTAGAGTTTATATTTAACGTGTCCCATTTTAAAAAGGAAAGGCAACATTTCCAATGCCTGGCCCTCCACGGGAAGTTCAGCTGTTCAAATCCACCGGCCACTCTGCAAGAGAAAGACGAGGCTCTCTGCTCCCACAGGAATTTGCTGTCTCTGGAGCTCTATAAAGGGTCACTGAGTCGAAATCTACTTAAGGGCAGGAGGTTTTGTTTGTTTGTTTGGGGGTAAAGTCCAGCCTGTGGTTACGTTTTTGAAGAATGAAAGCAGACAGCGCAAAGGGAGTTCCCTTCCCCTCGCCGCCTTCATTGTCACGGTGGCAAAGAGCTCAATCGCCCTTCACACCCACGGGGACTTATCCTGGAGCGAGCTGAATCAAAACGGCCCCCACCACAATGTCCCCCAAATGGGAGAAGAGTAGAGTAAGCCAGCAGGCTGCTTCACCACACAGCTCCTTTGTCACCACCAAGCTGGGACAAGACGCTGTGATAAATGGGGAGACTGACAAGGACACCGTAGTTGATGGCGTGTGGGTAATACAATCTACCCTTCCAGTTACATACATGTTCTCTTCATTCAGCATTTAGCATTTCTTGTCTAATTGCCTTTTGGCTGCCCAACTGTCACAATATGCCATGTTATTGATCTTGTTTTATTGGACACACAGGACTACTCTGTCGCGTCAGAAGGCGGTCTCGCAGCTTTCCTTAAGTCAAACTGAGCTACTTTGCATCAATTCTAGGGGGAAACTCCTCCCGTGGTTATCTGTCAACTGCCTTGGGACACCCACTGGAGCTTCCAGAAAAGTTTCTATAATAGAAAAAGAAAACCTATAAAATACCACGTACACCGCATTTATTTTCGATTGATTTTCTCTTCTAAATCTGAGTGAAGAGTCTCGATTTGGGAAAACCACCTGGCCTTTAAATGAAGAACAAGGTCTCGCCATTTCAAAAACCCCGGGTTAAATCCTGTGGTGATCTGACGCATTACTCTATAAGAATTAAATTGTGTACATCCGAACAATAATATGATCCTCCAATTCAAAGGCGACTCTGTCTTAACGCAGAATACACCTATGCATTTAAAAAAACGTCACTGAATTTTCCAGATGTTGAGCTTGACATTTTGGGGACATCTGCAGTTGGAGCTGGCAGCTTCCTGGTATGTACCCTCCAGGCTCAGCTTCATTATGTTACAATTAGCCTAAATGGCTGCTAATTAGACCCATCAGCAGCTTTTAAGAGTAAAGAAACGGCAGAGGGGCCATCTCCAAAAGCATAAGGAAAATAAAACAGCCCTCGTTTCCCCTCCCTGGTGCCTCCAGGGCCCACCTGAGACGTCTCCACAGAGAAGGCAAGTGCCTGCAGAGGGAGGGCTACAGCTGGGAGGACGCCCGCTGGGGAGGTGGCTTCCTTACCTGCTTACAAAACAGAGGCCGGCACTGGGCTGCAAAGCACTGGGCCACCCCATTGCCGCACACACACTTGGCACATCTGCTCAAGCGCCAGTCTTGCCCATCCTGAAACACTCGGCCTTCGTAGGAGCAGGGTTCTGGAAGATCAGAGAAAGCAGCGTTACTGGAAGGACTGCATGTGCTGCTGCTGCTGCCGCCTGTGCAATCACACAGGGCCGTTGTACCAGAAGGGGGACTGAGGCTCTCCAGCGGCTCTCTTGATAGTCTTAATAAGCTGAATCTTTGATTTACGATTTGTAAGGGAAGTCCGTGGGACCACGGAGTCTCTGCTCATTAAAGTTCCACCTCGCTCTGCCTTTTCGGTGACACACTGGGTCACACACTGAGGGGCTCACCGCAAAGTTCCAGCCAGCAGCCCCCC